AGGGGTGAATTAGAGTCTTTTATAGCTACCGACTGAAACAAGTGTTGGGAAAATAAAAGAGCTCCCGCTGGGATTCGAACCCACTTTCTAACCATCTAGTGATTGAAGGCTTAACCATTTGGCTATTTGGGAGAAGTTACTTTTCGCCGTTCACTTTTACGCTATAGTCCATCACGTGCAGCATAAGTACACATACACACAGACAATGGTTCTCTTCTTCCTATTAATGGGAGGCCTACGTGCATTTTCTCATCAGTCACTTTTTCTACAGTCCAGTGTTACACTGAGGCATTCTTTCCGGGATAGCGCTACAGTACTGTTGTGCTCATGAATAAAGAAATATTGGCAGTTGACAACTACCGAACACAAGAGCTTTGCGTCTTCAGTGTTCAAGTCCAAAGATAAACATTCACAAGTTTCATCAAGCAGGTTTTGCTGTATTTAGATGATCTTGTTATGTGTTTTTTTATATTGTTTACTTCTTTTGGTTTGTATTGACTTTTAAAAAGCTTTTTCACATTCTGCTCGAACATAATATTGTAGTCTTGATAGATGATTGTCTTGCATGTTCAGTCATTCGTTGCTTGTAGTCTGTTGTATGGATTTTTAGTCCTTTTGATTTATTTCATTAATACACTGCATGTCTCTGGAACAAAGCACGGAGTCATCAGTCCTTGTGAGGAAAAGGTTACAGAGTGAAGCTGCAACCTAGCCACTCGTGTATAAATCTTGTTATTCAGTTTTTCAAATTTTGAATTTTGCTTGGGGAGTAAACTTTGACGGGAATTGCATCGTGCTCCACGAGCAGCGATATTTGAAGATCAAGTTATGTGCCCTGTCTCTTTTTAAAGTATCTGGGGTTCCGTTGTTTGTTTCTGTATTTGCCTGTCTGTTTGACATCGTTCGAGCTTCTTCCGGAAACAGTCTGAGCCCAAACCTTCATGCAGCAGCATATACTGTTTTCGTCACCAGCTGAGTTGACTGCCGTGGACCAGTGAAACAATGACCAACAAAACGGAGATGGGGTGGGGGAGGTCTCTTGCTTCAAATAGCACAGCTGGCGCTGCTCAAGCCACAATTTTACCCACAGTGCTTTGCGCCTCCGTCTCATGCATCGTGTAGGAAACCAATCCCCGATTGTGGGTCTGAAGCGTTTAACTGGAATTGAAGTACTGTAATGTTTGGCTCTTTTGCATCTTACTTGATGTTCTGTGGCACTATCAGACTTACTATTGCGCTTACAACCTCAGGAAGTAAAAAAAAAAAACAGTTGAAGCCTGCGACGGAGCCCAGGTCGAGTATTAGAAAACGGCCTTGGCATTCTGTAGTAAGGTCCATTAGGCGTATTGGGCGCCCTCACTGAATGTAAAGTCTTTACGGTTTTTCCAGTAGCCAAGCCTCGATCGGCTTCCAATATGCCCAGTCCCTAGCTTCTTGACATGGACAGGCTTTAGTTCGATCTTGATCTACTTTCAGCTGTTGAAGACCAATGTCTGGTGGTTTCTCGTTCTTTGATTCAAATGTTACTATCATAAATCTGCAAACCGAGCGGAAGTTGAAACAGTGGTTAGACACTGCAAGCGAAACATCTTCACAAATCGGCGCACTGCCGATTGGCGTGATTGTGGCCGACAGATCATAATGTTGGTATCTGATTGTTCCATTCAGATGTACAGTTCCATTCATATGTACAGTATTTGATCCTCCTGATGTTTTCCTTTGAAAGATGTAACCGCAGTGATGTTTTTGTGTGATTATATGAGCGTCGAAATGAGTGCGTACTCATATCGACGCTCATATAATCACACACAAACATCACTGCGGTTACACCTTCACAAAGGAAATCATCAGGAGGATCAAGTACTGTAAATATGGAATACTGAAGGCTTTAACTTCCTCATTTTTTTCTGTGAAAATGGAAGGGAACCGCAGAGCACCCCAACACCAACAATAACAAACTAGCCATAAAAACAAAACAACTAACTGGTAAAAAAACCCAAGCTTACCATAACCCAACATTGAAAACAAAAACGAAACCAAAAATTTACTATCATCGGCTATGGCCGTTTTATTCGAAAGATGTCTTCAAAAAGATAAACGATCTTGTAATGCATCAATGGGCACTATTATTATTCAAAATCTGGACTTGTTTTACATGAAATAAATAACTGCCGGCATGTACATCCGAATGCATTGTATGCAAAGTATATATTCGAATACTATTCTCAGCAGGCCCTTCGGTGTAACAGGAAATTCACTAATTAACTAATGAACAATTTCTGCAGGACAGGGCTGCTTTGCGAGACGACATTTCCAAGCCTTATTTCTCGGTAAGTGCTAAATTTACAGACAAGTTGACCGCAGAAGCACGAATGAGCCCAACAATAAATTAGGATTTGATGGACTTCCGCTGGAGACGAATCCTACAGAAGGAAAACACGGTGGGTGAGGCGGGGACAGAATGAATTTGGCTTTCTTAATTGGAGTTCTCTCAGGGGGCTTCCCGCAGGAAGCTAAATTTGGGAGATGACAGTGCAATTGGGGAATTAAACAATCAAGGAAGGACACAAATAGGGGAAATTGCGGCCTGCGACTCATGCACAAAGTGGGGAGCTTTTGGGTGCACAGGAAGAGGGAGCCTTGCCTCAAAGAGATAATCTCGTTTTGGTTCATTCATTATAAAAAGCTTTTCGAAGGAAGGGGAATTAATCTTTCAAAAATATCTGCCAAGCCCCATTGCTTTCTCAAATCTGTTAGGGGTGAACAACACTTGTGTTGCACTGTTTCTGTGATTTTACCAAAACGTATTCTGAAGGTTCCTTCCCCAAATCCTTCCACACCAAATTATGAATAGTCTTCTCTCAAAATTACACCTACTTTTTTTCCCAAAATTGTGGAGCCATACACAGGCTGTGGGACTGATCATTGTTGGGCCAAAACATTGTGGTCCTGGACACTCAAAGCCCAACGCCCTGGTCCATATATCTGCCAAACAATGAACGTCTTCCCTCCAACACGGTACAGGACTGCAACACACAGCACATCGGTGTCTGATGTCTCCGCGCTGTCAATCCTTGTCAGGTTTCTTCTTGACCTGTTTAATCCCCTTCCAGTAGTAGAACTTGTCAAAGATGCTCTTGTACTTCTTGACAAACTGCTGCCGGATCTCTTGGTCCTCCGTGATGGCCTGGGTCAGGGGGGTCGGGTTGGCGGCCACTGCTGCCAGATCAAAGATGGGAAAGATGCTGGATGGAGAAAAGCAAATGTCTTGATGAGCAACCTTGCTCTGCATTATGTGATTTCACAGACACTGCTGTACACAGCATTCACATGGGGGCTAGTTATTGAAACATGGTACATGTATAGCAGATACCAAAGGACTCTTATTTTCACTGATATCGACAGCTTTGAACTAGACTCGATTGATACCTGCTAGCACCAGTGTGAATTCTGATCACAAGGTTTCAGACAGGAGGACACCTGGGTACATTTTTGGACACATTGTTTTACGAAAATGCCTGTTTAGATATCCAAATTAATGTTTTTATAAAATTCTGTTCTGCAGTACTTTTTCTTTAATTCCATCTCATTTGGCAAAACCCCTTTTTGACAGAGGAAGGTAAAACGTAAGCTTTTAGTGACAAAGACTTGTGGATGGAAGTTTGTAAGCTTACTCCAGGAACTGGCAGTGAAATCAGGCGTTGGATGTATGGTAACAGCCACATAAAAATGGGAACCAGTGGCTTAATTGTGTCTTTCCCCCAGCCAGCAGGGTTAGGTTATAATATGGGTTACACCGTTAATTATAATGTGGGTTATGTATATCACAGCAAAGGACACCACACTTTTGTTCTGCATTTTATCCCCTGTTATCATCGAATGATGGGATATTATTTGACTTCAATATTAACCAGATTTGGGTGACCTCTTTGACAGATAACGGGTAAATAAAGTTCCTTTATCTTGCTTATATATGGTAGGTAGCTGCACAGTCACCTCAGCTGTATACATGTACCTGTGCATGCCCTCAGGCTGTCCATGCTGGTAAGGCCAGATGAAGTTAAACCTTGTTAATAAGAGGTCCTTCCGCCTTTATAGATTACCTTGTTATAACAGGAAGCTTGTTTTATCAGGAATGAAAACAATGAAAAAGAAAGGAGTGGGGCCGGAACATTTTCTTGCTATAACCAGAATGTTGTATTCACAGTGCTCTTATTAAGGGCTTCAACTATACATTGTGCTGGATCCAGCTCCATCAAGTTGAGGAATGAATTGAGTATACATGTGTACATTTTCCAAGTTTTAAAGTTCACAAAGTCTTTGTGAGTGCAAACTGTACTTGAATACAAGGATCAGTGAATAGGCAAAAGAGTCTCTCCTGTCTTCAGTTTACTTTTTTTTTTCTGGCATCTTTTCCAAGAGAGGAAATACACATTTCGTGCCCTTGTCTGTGCCAGGCTGAAAGGCCTACAACAGGATTTATTGAAAGAGGCGTTTAAACATGACAAAGGATTTGAAGTGATGCAGTGCTGCATACATCAATGGGTTTGAGATTTTCAAATATTTTTAAAAAACATAGAATTGATAAAGCTCATACTCCTTTCTCTTGGTAAAATTCTCGGCCACAAACTTGCTGGTGTACTCCCGTGCCACAGCCTGGCCCAGTACCACACAGTTCAGTGTGGAGATGGTCTCGTCCCTGCTCAGACCAAGACGGATGCAGAGGTTGACGAACGAATACAAGATCATCTCCGCCCACTTGTCCTTGGTACTCACAATCGAATCTGCATGGAGAAAGTGTAAAAAATTATTTTCAGAAGCAGGAGGTGAAATTGAAAAATCAACAGTTTGAAAAGAAAAGGATACATCTCATACAACATGCAGGAGATTTTAAAGCAGATATATATTTGATGAATTTTCTTAAGATTTGATATCTGATCTTGTTTTCATCAAATCTCATAAATATGGTCCAGGGCAGCTACTTTCCTACAACAAGTCCCAATGCTTCCCAAGTTGACCATGTAATTGAACTGTTCCAAGATGCTCATAGTGTCTGCTTGTATGTGTCATGGATAATCATCTATTTTTTTGCTAAAGATGGGCATACATAGCTTTATTCAAAGAATTCTGAAGTTACAATACAGGCGATTCACAATACAGTGTGCCACTGAGAGTTTGCCACATACAGGGCACTTTTCAAGTTTACACTTGACAAGCGCTGCCACAATTCAGCGCGCTTCGTACGTAATTTGGGGATATTTGATTGAAAGGTGTTCCTTGCACTACACAAAACCATCATTTTCACTACCTAACACCCATTCGCAATAAGCAATATCGAATTTTCAACCAAGATAAACAAACATTCTAAAAACTTCAAGTTTTCCGCTCTCAGCACGGTTAGTGAATGAGACTTTGTCAACTATTTATCCCATAATGCACTACGAAAGAGCCTCTCTATGACAATCTCTTGGTGGCACACTGCATTGGGAATTGCCTGTATTGAAGGAAAACACATTGTGAATTTAGTTCTTGCTGAGAATTTACCAAAAGTTGTATCATTTGAACTTCAGCCCCATAAAACAGATGTGTGAAAATTAATACAAACAATGCGAAATGAAAGTAAATGTACTTGAATCCTAGTATCGGATGCAGGTAGGGGCTATACAGGTCATCTTCATTTGTGTCCATCCATCTTGTCTTTATCTATCCACATACAGCAGGTGTTTCCTTTTGTCATTTAAATTATCAATACCAACAATGCTATCTGCTGTTGGCACCATCAAAATTGGGAACACCAGTTAAAGGAGCTGGTAAGCGTTTAAACTTAACAGCAAAAGATTAATCTTCAGGAAAGAAAAAATTATCTGCCAAAATGACGTCTGATGTTTATTGTTTGCAAATGGTCCTCAATTAATGTATATTTAAGGTCACTAAAGAAAACACACCCATAAACAAAGAATTATGCTTTCTGGCTATCAGATAGCTGACAGACCAGGCTACAAGATTTCTTCATGCTTAGCTTAAATTCAATTAGCACTATATTAAGTTTAGCAGATCAGTGAAATCGGACTATAATGCCCCAATTTGGGAAAATTTTGCTGAATAAACCAGGCCAGTATTTCAACTGAGCAAGTGTACAAGATTTTAAGACTTCAGAGCTAATGAACACAAGTCCTTGGGGAATGAAAATCTTTGCTTTTGCGTGTAAGCATGGCCTACCTTCCTTGTCTAGATTGAGCGGACAGGTGACCTGGACTTGTTCTGGGTTCTCCAGGGTGGTGCACACGTCTTTGCTGCAGTCCCACGGCATGTCAGCTTTCTCCAGCTGCCACGAGAACTCTGGCTTGATGATGTTGCTGCACTTAATCACCTGATGAAGACAAATGGCTGGATATAGAAAATTCTTCAAAAAGAGTGACAAGCTCGCCACCCAATGCTTTGAAGTTTTTCTTCTCATTGATACCACTGATGACTTGTTTTTTTTCAATGCCATCAAACTTACATTTGCTTTGGTCAAGTATCTGATCTTTACAGAAAAAATACACCCCATCCCCATCCTCTGCCTCCTGGGCCATGAGTGAACGTTAATGTTATTGATATTCCTTTTCAGGTCAGTTTAGAATGCTGTGAAGTTGAAAGAAAAAACTGACAATAATGGGCCATATCAAACACCTCCAACAACCTGTTATTAACAAACTCCAATCAAGTACACTACATGTATTAGGAAACAAAAATGCATGCTCCAAATAGAATACTTAACGTTTATTTAAAAGGAAACTTGGGAAAAGTTGCACCATCAGAAATTCCGGTCTCATTCTCGAGGCTGATAAGCAGAAATGATTGCTTAGCAGGTTCAAGTGCTCAGCAACAATCAGCTGAATAAAAGAGGGCCTGCTTTTTTGGTACTCACAGCATAGGCACGTCATGGGGTGCGCAGGTATATGTACGTTTGACGCGGAGCATGCTGAGTACGCAGAACTATTCTATTCTGCATTGCATGGTCTTTGCGTACAAGCAGAACGCGTGCAAGAACCCGCTTGTAACCTCCTGTCTTTCTTTTCGCTGATTGGGGGCGCACTTCAGCTCGGGGCGGATAGTACATGGCAAGAGTTCGAGGCTGGTATCCTGTATCCGCTAAACAAATATCTCCGTACAATCTCCTGTACTTGTGAGGAGTGGCTCCCGGAAACTGAGGCACAGATTGTGAATGAAACCTTGTGTACTGCTTGCATCTGTCAAATACACGTAGCTGTAATACATGTAACGCATCTGTTTGCAAATGTGCTTTCTTATGGCAACCATGTGTGAGGAGCTGACCTCATGGATGAACCACTTAATTTTTCTGTCAGTGGAGAGCCCACTTCCGTGCTTCTGGTTTCCAATGAGTCCTGACTTTGTGATGTCACTGGAAAATGTTCGTAAAGTAAACATGAGCAAGTCGATTACATCTCGACTCAGGAAAAATCTTCACTTCAAATGTTTTATTGTGTCACATCTGCTCTGCCATTTCATTTACATGTACATCGACTGAAAGAAGCTTTCTTCCACGAAGCTTTATTTCGACCTTTGTAAGCAAGTAGCTTAGGCTACTTCTTTAATCTTCTCAACTGCTCACCCTAACCTTACCTGCCGTAATCTCGGGATTGGTACTGAGCTGAGGAAGCTGTAAACTGTACACTGCGCTGGGATGTGGCCCTTGATATCCTTGGCAATGTCCGGAAGCTGGGAGGGTAGCACACAGAGAAAGAGCAAGTGCACAGAGGTAGCCACCTTGGCATTGTTGTACTCACAGCTCACGCCCTTGTTTCTGAGAACCCCTGGTCAAGACGGGGAGTAAAATGATTATTCCTAACAGTGTTGTTGATGTGACAATCGCAATTCCAGTTACGTGTGATTCACATGACATTTCACAAGTAAAGTCAATGATGAAAAAGTAATACCTTTGTCAGAATTTACATAAATGGCCTGTGACTTGACTTTGGACTTGATGACATGTAAGGACTTGTGATAGACTGGCAACTTACACTGGTCCAAGCCAATTTGGCTCATCTGACCAGTGTTTATCTCTGGTTTCCTTGGCATATAGTGACTGAGAATATTTCTATTTCCCCTGGATGGGATGCCAGTCTATCGCAGGTTGCTTCCCCAGCTCATGCTGGTACCCATTTATACTCCTGGGTGGAGAGAGGCAAGCAGAGGTGAAGTGGCTTGCCAAGGGCCACAAAATACTGCCGGCAGTTGGATTCGAACATCCATGATTGGAAGCCACAGATCCTTAACACCTTGCCACATACAGTCCCCCAGTTACAATAACACTGGTATCCACTTAAACTTTAGATTGCCGGCATGGTCTCACACATGTACATGAGTACAAACAAAACTCCCAAAGTTTCTAATATGACACTTAGCTAGATATTCTGAATGCAAACTACATGTATGTTCACTTGTAGGGTAGCATCTAAATTTACTTCCATAACAAGAAACAATTACACCTTTAGTAATTTCTATTGGTTCAGAACAAGGGCCACAAGTCAATCATTCAAGGTCTCTATGTTCGATTCAGCCAACAACGAAATTCTCCTGTCTCAATAAAAGAAAGGAACAAAGTATACTCAACAAACAAAATAAAGTCATAAGAAAAACAAAGTAATATTCAAAATAACACTTTTAAGGATTTTGAGAATTGAATCTGCACTTTGGTCTACTCCAGGAACCTTCAGGCATTACCCAATGTACATTTGACTGTGAATGAGTTTCTGACTTCTAAAACTGTTTTTACTGACACTTCCACCAAAAACACTCAGTGAACATTTGAACTTACACATTTTTATTACAGGAGATCCTATGCCCTTTCTACTATTAGGGAGTATCACATGCTATGCACTAATGTTATGCCCAGATGCTTATTAGATCTTCAGACAGGAAGCTTACTGTCAGCACACGGTTCATGGTACAGTGTACAAGGACAATCTTGACAATTTGGCAATCAAAAGCTCTGTTCCATAGAGAGTCATTATTCCACTTATTTGAAAGTGCTGAATGAAGATGCTGCTCCAAGTGTGAAATGTCCCAAATTTATAAAAAAAAAAAAACCAAACCGCAAACTGCACAGTTACATGTACATGTATGTAGGCACATGGTTCAAGGTACAACATACAACACTTTAATACTTTAAAGCTCTGTTTAACAAAATTTTGTTGTTTAACAATAGAGGCTATTCATGAAAGACACAGAAATGTTCCTTACCAAGAGTTTCAGGCCGCCTTGTTGACACAAACAGCTCCTTGGGTTGAACGTCAGCATAGGTGAGCAAGGTGTTGGCAAGATGGAGACCAATACGGCCACATCCGATGATTCCAACCAGGAGAGGGTCCCTGGGTGGAGCATCTTGGAGGAACTTGGACGTCTTGGATTGCTGGGGGCTCCTCAGCTCAAGGATGTACTGTCTGAAATGAATTATAAAAAATATCAAACATGCTTTAGTATTGAAATGTTAACAGTAGAACTCTGATGTAGTCCTACTGCAGGACCTGGCAGGCTGTTGACTTGACCACGGCCACGGGAATGAAACTTCATGTTGTACGTTGGAAGAATCTGAAAAGAACTGAGGCTTATTTTTTTTCCAATATTCATTATGTTGCCCTTCTTGGCAGACGTCAAGCTGCAGCAGAAAATCAAAGGACACGATTATTTTCATACAGTTATAGAAACAACGATGATTCTGATCGGCCAGCTGGGAGGCACCTTAGCAATTTTAGTGAATGAAATCGTCCATTTTCTAGATAGCCACTCGTCAACCTCAGATTTTCTCACAAGCCTCTGTTGACCACAGTTCATTGTTGTCTGCCGGCAGTATACATGTATATCCTTACCAACTTTTTGGACAAGACTGGGGTACCTGTAGCTACATGTAGTGGAGGTGAGTTAGGTCTAGTAGTAGTATCATTTATCAATAATGGCAATTATGTGAACTGTCTGTGTGGACTGAGATGAAAAGAAAGGGAGACAGATTTCTTAAAATAATCAAAGTTTGGAAAGAATACCACATGTGGGTACGGATGCCACTAGATTTTCCCTGCAGTGACCGACATGTGTACCTGCCATCTGAAAGCAATAAAATGTCCTGAAAACTCAAAGTTAGCAGAGGAAGTATTCACTTCAAAATCACTTAGAAAATTTCAGACCAGTCTCATAGTCAAAGGGTTCATGCAAGGCATGTCAAGTGGCACCTACATATAGAAAGTGTTACTTTTAATACCCCCACCAGAATTGGTCGGGAACACCAAAATCTTTGAAAATCCAGTTGCGATAAGAATTATATACATGTAAATGCTTGGCACAATCTGTAATTTCCAGATTTATTTCAGTAAACCGGTGAAAAAGTGGGCAGAAAGTAGTCCTACCTGGTGAGCATTTTGAGTCACCATACAGTGTCAAGAACATTTAACACGTACATGAAAAATCAGAACTTTCTTCCCCTGAATTGCATAAAGATTTCAAGATGGAAGTCTTAAAATTAAAGGTTGTGGGCAAGCATTTAATTCTCAACATAACTGGATAGTTAAAGATTTGGCTGTTCAAAGCTGATTTCGGTAATGTGTAATGGAAAGAGTTCCATACAGCATATACAGACACCACCAATTTTCCCTTAAAATGTCATAGACCTAACAGCCATTAGCCCTAACAGTACATAATACTAAAATTACTACTTGAGAGTACATGTAAATCCCTCCATGGTAAAATGTAGTACACGGCACTGTCGCTTGTAAGAGGACATGACCTTATTGTTTTCTGAAGCCATAAAATAAACTAGACAAGATGATGTACATGTACCATACAGTGCTGTGGCACTGGTGCCCTAGCCAAAAGCAGTAATTTGTAGCGCTAGGTCCTTCAGGATCAGACTACTACATGTACTTATTTTATAGTACTGAGTCCTGTAAGCCAAATGATGTGCAGGACTGTTAGAAAGTGCTAACATGTTCTAGAAATGAAATTTTAGCTAAGAACATTCCAAAACATTTACTTAGAAGACACTTGGGTTTTTTCAGACAAGTCTCATAACGGTTTGCACACAGGGCCATCAAGTGTTGTCCATATGGAGCACTTTACGGGGTAGCCTAAGGCCTATAAAATGAGTGAAAACTTTCCTACGTAATTCCTCCCAAAGTTTTCTCAATAAACCAATTTCCCTTTCCGTCGCCATGCTTTTTTAACACCCCCGCACGAGTAAGTGAACAAAGCTAGAGGGGAACAAATTGTCTACAACAATCAACAGCAATCACGATCCATTCGCCAAACATCACGCCATCTTGTTGTCATGAATTTATTCCCCTCTGCTCCATATTCTGAGCTTGTACCCCCAGAACTGTGGGGTCTGAAGTCCATCGTCGGACCCCACAGTTCTGGGGTACTGAGCATGCACACATGAAACATGAAAAAGGCTTATTTGGGGGGGGGAATAACAATGGGAGTAAATACAGAATACCTTTCAACTCAAAATAAAACAAACAAACAAAACTCTCAAATCTCTGGTTATGTGGGTAAATCCCCATAGAACGGTGTGACAGTTTGACCTCGTACTGCTGCTCATAGCCAGCTGCGACTTGGATCTTGCGGGGTGCCGGTGGCGGGGTTTTCTGCAAAGTGCAATTGTGACCAGTCACCCCAAATCAGCTGAAAGTTGGAATTTTCAAAAATTGGGACATTGTTGTTTTTGAATTCAGCAGAAAAGAGCTCTCCAATGGCATGTACATGAAACACTTAGGGTAGAAGTATAAGGTGACAATGTGACATTATTCTGGCAGCCTTGCATCTTTGTTCCCAACATATTTTCACTATTTCAGACCAGGCACGAATAATGCTACCATCAAAATTGCTAAGAAAAATGACCTTTTTCAATATGTGATCCTGCGGAATGTTTGGAATTAAAAAGAAGACGGTTTACTCTTTCCAAATATTACAAAACCTCCGCTTCAATATGACTTTGAACCCTCAAAATAAGAAAGAGCGAGATGCGACTCTACTCTCATTTTGTCATAACAGGTCACAATTGAGCTCCGTAAAGCCAAAGAAAAAAAGCCTGGCAAAGTCTGGCATGGAGTTCCCAGGTTCAATCCACTTCATGGGAATTCGCCCCCGTCAGAGTGTTTGGGTGATTTAGGCCTAGGCCTAATTTGTTTTGCAGAAAAAGAATGCAGAAGGAAATCGGACAGGCAGCACAGGGAAAACAACAATACTCATGATGCGCCTAGGCCTGTCCCAACAAATAGGGCTGTAGTGGCTCTCTTTTACAATCTGTCTCTGACCTGGTGGCGACAGGTAACAGACCGATTGAAAAAGAAAGCCACTACAACCCTATTTGTCATGTTTGTGGGGCTACAGTATGGGGCTACATCAAGTACATGCTTGGCCCTACCTCGCTTCGTTTAAAACAGCGGCAAAATACGTCGCCTGTGCGCATGCTGAAACCGTAATAACGTGGGATCTTGCTCTTAAAACAAGGTAGGGTGTTTCTTCCTCAGATATTGCATTTTCAAAATTCAGAGATGGTAAATCTCGTGTGATATCGCCGATTGCACTGCTCATCTCTACGGACGCCATGGCCAGATGGTTTACTGTTGCATGTAGCTAGCTGTCTCCATGCAAGGCATGGCACTGCATGATGGGATAAGACTCACATGAGGCCGAGTCCGAATCAGCTATTTTGTGGCTATGGCTTAATATTTTGCCATTGGCGTATTGTATACGCAATAGCTAAGGCCGTATCCACATTGTTCGTTACTGACAACATCATTTGTCAAGCTAGACCAGTGCACGGACGTGTATATTAAAATCTAAACTCGCAATGCCCTAAATCAGCTTATAGAATCATTGAATCCACTCGCAGCCATTTTACCGAGCCGAATACAAAGCTTTCCTGGTAATGCCCGCCTTTGTTCTTCCTGACGTCAATAGTAGGGAGCCAACACACGCCTTTGTATTCGGCTCGGTAAAATGGCCGCTGGTTGGCTTCTTTTTCATACAAAGGCGTCGCAAGTCCAGGTTTTTTTTATATACATTTGTACGTCCGTGGACCAGTGCCGTTTTGCGGGTGCAGAAGTACAGTCAGTCCTTTACCCCAACGAATTCAGTTCGGTATTTTTTTCACACAACTTTTTAAGAATTCCTCCTCTCAAAATACTGAGCAAAATTGCATTTAGACTTGTAAGATTAAATCACGGTAGTTTTGTTCCTCCATAATTAAATAAGCGTTAAAAGACACAAAGAAACCAAAGAGGGACCTCCCCTTTCCTGATTCGAAATGCTCCGCCCATCTATCATAAGCCACCAAGGGTACGGGACAGATGTGGGCCAACTGAGGGAGGCGGCCTTTCTAAATTTCTCGACTCCCGCCCCTCGATCCTTGAGGACACATAAGTAGGCCTACGTCCCGTGACAATCTTTCCAGTTTGCCAGTGAACAGATGGAACACTTTGAATGTTGTACTTGTAGGCTGGCGGTCGCACTGTATAGCGCGCCGCCTGATATTTTGTGATGTGAGATTATGGTGGCAAAATATGCCTTTTTGATAATTTCAAATAGGAATTAGGCCATTAAAATAATAAGTAGTTATCATCCCAATTTTTCTTTATTTAAAAACAAACGGGGAGGGGGGAATGTAAACTGAAAAGCACTGAAAAATTAAACGAGAAACGATCCCAAGTTTACTGTTCGGTCTGAGAATTTGCGCAAGACTAGTGACTAGTTCATTCTCGATCGGAGGCTGTTCCATCTATTGGACACGCCCGGTAAGAAAGGGCCACGGCAAACTACATTCAATTTAAGGAAAGAATGGTAAACGGAACAGCACCACCGACTAATCAGACTCGACCGCATCCAAATTATTGGCTGCGGCTGTAACTGCATGTACAAACATACAGTCCGTTAACAAGAGAACTATTAATACAAATTTCTGTTGATATATTAAAAGAAAGTTATAGGTCCCATTTCTTCGTTTTTCACTGGTAAATATACCTAATATAAATACAATGTTCCTGTTCTAACAAGGTAATAGACCAGTCCTTGTGAATTCTTAATAACAGGGTTCAACTCTGCTGGTATCCTGCATAAAGTGCCGGCATCTAAACGGACATGTGGACATTTCTTACAAAAAAAAACCCTCCCCTACTTTCCCTTTATGGGCAAAAAGGATGATCACCAATTGCTTTTTAAAAAATTCTTTCTATATGGCCTTATGTTAGAGTTGTCCCCTCTATGAGCTACAACGCCTTGGTCTTGCAACATTGCTGAAAACTGCATGGGCACTTTTTCCAGTTGTTAAACAACAACATTTGCCCAGTGGGCCCTATATCAAAAGCAACATTGCAATGGACTTGCTGACGACTTCTTCCGTTATGGAGCTTCTTTGTTGATGCAAAGTGGCACCAAGCAACGGAGCATGAAAGTATTATGTCCTCGCTGGTGCATCAATTGGATAATACACATGAGCCTATTCACCCACAAACGCTTTCCGTCGTATAGAATGACGGCTGATCTAATAATAACCCAGGGAGACCGGGGATTCCCTGAAAATGTCACGCAATCCTACGACTGCATGTAAAGCATAGCAGTTGCTGGTGCTGCATAACTAAACCCAGAGTAAATATAACCCTCGAAAGTGAAAAAAAAAACAAATTCAGTGACAAGAATGATTGCCCGTTCCTTCTGGAAACTTTCGGAAATGACCACAGTCCCTAAAATGTGACATTAAGTCATATTCCTTGAAGAAAAAAATCTCATCGTTATTCTCTTCCGCAGCTTACACTGTCACGAGTTATTACAAACTGACATGCCTTGTAAAATATTAAGTTTAAAAAAAATAAAGTACCAGCAAGGCATCTATGTTTGTAAAAGCAATAGCGAAGACTGAGAAAAAAATTATAAAAATAGGAGGGAAAACTCAGAAAATGGAAGGCATGGAGGAAAAGCTTAGAGCACGTTTCTGCGAGTTGGGATTCAACCAGTAAAAGTCCGGGTATTGGAGGTTGAATGTGAAAAGATAAATTTCTTCCATCCTTACAATAAAAGAGACCCTTGGTCTAATACGAAGGGTATCATACACGGAAAAGTTGTGAAATGTATGATTTCAATGTACTAAACCTTGAAGGTAATTCTTAGTAAACCTTTTTCTTTAGCTTTGCTCAAAAGGAAAGTTTCCAGTAATTTTAAGTTGTAATAAAATTGATTCATTCAATTCAATTTTTGAACATCAACTATTTGGTTTTAAATTATATAACATGAGGCAGAGATGTTTTCTAAACCCCCCAGAAAGGTTTATTCGAACCCTCCATGTTATTGTGATTTGAAATATCAGCAAAGACACTTCCCTTTTTACAGATTTTGAGATTAGATGTGAATTCTTTTGGGGGAGGATGCCATAAACTTGTGATTTTCTGACAGACTTGACTTTTCAACACTTTCTCAAGCACGATGTGTTCTGCTTCATAAAAAAGCAACACAAAGGTCATGTCGCAACACGCATACTGGAACATATTTCTCACATTAACTATTGTCAGTCACTGTGCGAAAGGACCAGACCAGCACATAAGCTGCGAGATGGAAGATAACAGAGAGCACCATGTTTAACCTTTAGCTTGGAGGCCGATCGACCCAGCTGCTATGGCAATGACCGTTGGTGACGTCAAGGAACTGCGCCTCACATACTGATCGTCAAATGTAGAGTAACCCCTTAATGTAAACCGCTTGTTGGATTTAGTTAACATTTAACCGCATGCGTGTCAGACCCTTTGTGCCGTTACCACCATGCCACTGGCAAAGGCGCTCTGCTTCAAACCAGCAGAAATATTAGTGCGGCCTGATACGAACTTGTTATATTTTTTTTCAAGCCACATTTTTAAAAAGGCATTAAGTTCGAATGCTGATTGAATTAAGCAGTGAATAAGTTTACTTGGGCTGTACATGTTCACGAGTTTCAAAGCTTCGAACATCCGGGTATAGGGCTAGGCGTAGAAAAGAGACAAACTTTTGAGCCAGGAAAACCCGCCTAAGGCTTTCCTAGAGGCAGTGCTTTTGGACTTTTATATGACCCAGACGGTAAATCCCTTGCCGTCATGTATAAGCATAAATGGACGCCACGTAGCAAGTTTCCTGCATTCCAAGGCCATGACGCCCACACAAATTATTTCTTGCATAAAACAACAAACAAACGAGAACAAACAAAATATGTATAAACATGTTATAAATATGTTAAATTACATTTGCTTTAAACAATGCCTTAGATGTTTTTGAGAGACATTGGGCCAGTTATTGCTTTCTAAAAAAAAGCCCCCTTTATCCTTTTTTGTTGAACAGGGAGAGACTTTGAATTGTTGGTAGGGGGATCAGATCTGTGATGAATAAACTGGATGTTAAAGGTATATGTCAGTCTACGTAGATAATTAAAGAACCAATATAAGAAAGATGTACACAATTGAACAAAGGGATTGAAGGCGGGTACATATGTAATATATATATATAATTACCCCCACCCATATACCCCTTGATCTCCTCAATAGGCCAGTTTATGAGGCAGTCATACAATCTCCACATATTTTTGAAGCTGCTTTATTGGTGATAAAAATTCCAGCCTTTTGGCTAATAAGTATAAAGTGTTTATGAAATGATTCAAATTTTAAAATTTGAAAACAGCATTTTCACCGCCGGGTTGCTGCGTGTACCGAAGTGAATACGTCACGCGCACAATTTGTGTGTAAAAGGCATTAGCGCGAGAAGCAGCGCATAAACCAACACGCGTGCGTACTCCATTCGTTTGCACTGCACTTTCTGGTTCACAGTGACGTCACACTTCGGTACTCTACAACATAATAATCGGTTAAATGCGCGGCTCGCCAACTGTCAGAGTTTCAGACACCTGAACAGAGTGGTACATGCTTAGCAAACCAACAACGCAAGACGGTAACAGCAAAATATGCATGTTACCCAATGACGGCTCCTATACCCCCCCCCAACACGTGATGTTACTTTTTCTTCACCAGAAACACAATAGATGCTTTTGTTACATACGTATTTAGAAATACGGGAATACCCCGGCAAGTAATTTTGAAAGGGGTTTTCCAGAGAATGGTATTTTTCACAAACTTTTAAGGAAAACGGCTGCCGAATACAGACAACAATCTTGGCACTTTTGCAGTTCGCAACCCAATGCTTCGCAGTGAACTCTTTGCGGATGATAAACTGGTTGCAAACCTGGCAGCTCCTCAGTGTGTGAAACCTGTAGATGATGCGATTAGGACCATGATACTTCAGGTTCTGTGCAAGTTTGCATTGTAACAGGCCACACCTATGATAGTCAGCTTGACACAGAAACCCCCCCCCCAAAAAAAAAATAAATAAATAAAAATAAAACAGCTTATTAGGTTCTTAAACCTCTGAAAAGTGTTTGTTGTAAACCCCGGAGGCACTCTATGATCCCCAGGTAATTGTATGAAAAAATATACACAAGTGAGGTGTATAGTCACTCAGTTCACAAGCCGTCTTCTTTTGAATATGGTCGGTGAGTTTGGTTTTTACACACGGCATTTCTCTTGAGACAGATAATTGACAGAAACATAATTCGTTTTCAACAGCTATGGATGTGAAAAACGTGTCATTGCTCTGTACGTTTGCGCCTTATTCAAAAGACGCGCTGATGTTTGCGTATGCTGTACATGACCGTTGCATTCAGAGACATTTATGGGTCGGGGTTATTCGGGGCAAAATGACAAGGAACAGGTGAAATCATCATCAAAAGTCCATTGTTTGCTTTTTTAAAAAAAATAATTATCATGGTTAGGTCTATATGTTTTGGAAAATACAAATAAATTAGAACATGCGCATTGGAAAATCAGGTTTTGTGAATGCAAAATCGACTGTCTGAAACTCAATCAGGATGTGGC